TCCTGGAAAATATAAAGGGTCAAAGGGATACTTTATAAGGTGATCTGCAAAAAATGTTGAGGGATTTGGCTGGCGATCGAGGGGCTACACCCCAAGCACTTCATAAATTAAATTAAATTAAAAACGTTTTCATGTATGATTATAACAATATGATTCAGTGTATAAAATATTTTTTTTAGAAGTAGAAACGTTAAGGTAACTGGAAACGTAGTTAACATTCAAATTGGAAAACAGCATATATGTATATTATATAAACACGGTCCGTAAAGGGAAGGGCTATAGCCTTTTTAGCCATCCCCCTCTTGGCTATGATAGCGCATAGATATTATCAAAATGTAGGTATATAGAAAAATAATGTTTTGTATTTGATATTTTGTTTAAAGGGGGGGGGGAGAGTAATAAAAACAAGTGTATACTCATTTAATGGAAGGTTAAAAATTCTGTGGGGTAAAAATATGAAAATAGTGTTTATATAAAACATATACAATTCCAAATAATCGAGAAAAAAAAACAGAAAACACATTACTTCTGGAAAATCGCAAGTTCGTGATAAACATTATATGGATTTTTTGTATACGTTTAGGCGTATGTTTTGATATGGATAATTAAATTAGAAAATATTAATGTTGTATAAGCTATTTAATTTGCATTTTAATAATATTATTATTAATAACCGTAAACCGAGATGGATTAATAATTAATAATAATTAATCCACCTTGGTCAATATATTTTTAACAAAGATTCGTTATTTATAATTTTACTTGAAAACATTTTAAGTCTAGTATTAAAATATTCATTACAATTTTTTTCAAATGATAAAATAATACAATTAGTATCTATACAACAGCTAGTACTTATATTATATAAAATCTATAAGAGATATTCTGAGGGCTAAATCCTAGTTAGGGGGTCGAAGCTCCCCCTCTAGTTGTGCCACTGCATACATACGTGTCAACAGGAAATAGGTTAACAACATTAATGGAATAAGAGAAGGGTATAGCCGTGTAGGAGAGCGGTGACAGGTATAGATATACCATGCATAGATCTGCATTTATTAATGTTTAAGGTCAAACCAATAGTGTATCAAACTAAACGACGAAATTATTAAGGTCATTTTGTAGATAATATAGAAAATCAGTGATTGAGTTAACCTTCACAAATAATTTCATGTCGTTAGTAAAGCAATTGACAATGCTTAAGAGATAAACAAGCACTGTTAACAAACAACGAAAATAGTTAAGAAGACGTGAGATGTCCGTCCCACCTTGGGGGACGTCAGACGCAGAGTGAAATAATTCAGACTTGTTATTAAATAGTTTTACGTATTGCGAGCGTTTAATAAAATAAGAATTGAAGAAAGGAAAAGGAGGAAAAAATATTATATTATCATTAAGAGAGCGTGACACCCGCATGAGTCATTTCCGTCTTATTAATGTATGATATTGAAAATTTACGTTCAACAAAGATGATATTGTGATGAGAGCCGTAGAAGGAGATAAGGAGGCCTATGCACCGGGCGCAAATTTTAAGAGAGAGTCAAAAAATTCATCTGAACAATTTTATAATTCCGTTGCGAACCACAATATAATTATTTATATCACCCATAGGTAGTAGGCCAACAGTTTTATTGCAGTTTCCTCGAAAAGAAGACAAGCGGCAGCCGTTATCGATTTCACTGCCATTTATAATCAATGATATTGGTGTATATTTTATTTTAGCAAAATAAGCAATTTTAGATACACAATACTCGAAAGTTACAGATGAATAAAAAACGTATAAGAGAACGTTCCTTTAGTAAATTAAAATTAATTAAGATGTATATTTACGATCAGACGTGTCCCAAGAAAGATTAACAAACTCGGCAATATCAGTGTTGAATGAAGACAATTTTTCTAGGAGGGGGGGCATTATTAAAATTATAGTTATGCATTTTTTTTTTTTGCTTATCTACCCCCTTACTCAGACCAGTCAAATTTGTTTAATTATTTAATTAATTATTAATTTAGGCAATATTATCAATTAAGGGGAATGGAATCGACGAGTTTCTGTTTGTCTTATACACGTGAGATATAGGGATTTAGATGTGTTTATTTCTAATTGATCTAGTGAAGCGATAAGAATTCTGAAAGCAGATTTGAATTTGACGTGAAGTCTACTTGATATTGACTTTCCTTTTTTTTTTTTGATTTTAATTTCTCAAAAAGTTAAAATATTTCATTTTTTCAATTATTCTTTTATTAGTATGACTTTTTTTAGTATTTAAGGAGATGAATTTAAAAAGTGAGAAAGTCGATCACAAGTAGACTTCACGACAAATTCAAATTTGCTTTCAGAATTCCTATCACTTCACTCAATCGGTACATTGGAAATAAAACACGTCTAAATCCCTATATCTCACGTGTGTAAAACAGAAACTCGTTGCTTCTAATCTTCTTAGTAATATTTGTTTAATATTGTACCTACTTTCCTGCATTTCCCATTTATTGGGAGAACTTTTGAGAAAATCAAAAAATGTCCTCCCTAAAGTACCTACATAGTAAACCAGAATTGTCCGGAAAATAATCAGACGGACTGTGAAAATCCAGAAGTTTTTAGTTAATAAACGGGTTGTAAAATTCCGGAATGTATAAATTTACAAACAAAAAAACGACAGACTGTAAAAATTCGTAAAATGAAACGCTGTAAATATCCGGACTGTAATCGGACAGAAAAATAAATGTTCTAACCAGAATATTTCGGACTATAAAAATCTGGAAAGCATAAATGCCAAAATCAGAGTCCTAGACTATAATAATCCGGAATAAAAAAATTCGCACACTGTAATGTCCTGGACAAGAACTTTCCGGAATTTAACAAAAAATACTGATAGATGGCAATGTTTCGCATACATAGTACAAACAGAAAAAAACGAATTAAGATTAAAAGAAGGTTCATGATTTCATGACTATTTTCAGAGATGGATAGATATGCTTAGATCCGGTATTACGAATCACGATTATCAGTATTAATTGTGTTTTTGAAATTCCGGAATATTCTTTTGCGTGACATTCCGGAAATTTCTGGTTCGGGACATTACAGTGTGCGTATTTTTGTATTCCAGATTAGTATAGTCCGGAACTTTCTGATTTAGACATTTATGTTTTCTGGATTTTTACAGTCCATGCGATGATTTCCTGAGATTTTCTAGCCGTCCACCTAACTCAAAATAACTAATAACTCAAAAAATCGACATTAAAGACGTCATAGAAGATTTTGCTTCTATCAAATCCAGAAAAATTAAATTTTAAGTCGCATAAATAATCAAAAAAAGACGGACATACTTCACCCAAGGATGCAGTCACTGTTGTAGGTAGGAAATTGAGAAGATAGGGAATTTAATGTATATCTAATATCTATAAGCAATGATAAACGATTTTGAGAGGAGTTCAGTTGATAGTGATGGTTTGTCAATTTTCTCTTTTGTTTATTTTCTTTAGTTTTTAATTTTGTTTAATATTGTACCGATTTTCCTACATTTACCGGTGTTTCACATTTGTTGAGAAAGATCCTGAGAAAATCGATAAATGATCTTTTTAAACTACCACTCCATTATTTCATTATTTCACTTGAAGAAATAATTATATAGAATTCACTAAATCAGATGAAAAATTGAACATTGAACTCAAACATTAGTAGAAATTTAAAATGATCTACTATATACAATTGATTTAGATGATATAAATGAATTTGACTCATGCAGATCTAGGCAAATTATAGTTTTAAAATATAAATAATAGGTAATTTTTTTGGTTTGAATTATAAATGACTTTAATAATTTAGAGACAAAATATTGAAGAATAAAATTGAAAATTTTCTTAAAATACTTTAGTTTAAATGTTCCTATTTTAATGGATAATAATATCTAAAACTGTTGTTTTAAAATCGATACAAATTCTCTACATATTTTCAGCTTTTATAATTTACTAGTCCTTTCAATCTGAATATTGCCATGATCTTTTTTTAGTTAAATAAAACTTATTTATATCAGGTTATATTTTTACTTATAGAGAAAAGTTATAAAATGAAATTTAAAAAAAAATGATGGCTCTTGTAAAGTCATTCGAAACATTCTTTTTGCTTTTTAGATTATTTAGAATTGTACTATTTTTTTTATATTCTCAGTGCTTAGATAATAGCAACCATTTTAATAATACTTTAATTTAATATATCATTGTATAATACATAATATTATGGTAAATATATGATTAAAAAAAGATGTCCTAGGATAATGGGAGCTAGCGCAGACACTGTTATTGATAATTTAATATATACCTGTAACCAACAACAAAATTGAATACATAACAATAAGGAACTATAAACTATTGCTTACAAATAAAATCGATTCTGAGCTCAGTTCAGTTGATAGTGATGCTTTGTCAACATTATATATGTCATATTATGGTAAAATAATTAAATAGGTATTATAAATTTTCTTTAAGAATATTTGTTTAATATTGTACCCGTTTTCCCATGTTTTTTTTTGGTTTTTCACATTTACTGGAAAAACTCCTGAAAAATATCGAAAAATAACCTCTTCAAAATACCTCCTTAGTGAAATTTTTTTTTAGAATCATTGCTATCATTATAAGTTGGTAAAAAAATTGTCCACAGAAATAAAAAAAAAAATAAACCATAAGCTTTTTCGCTCTACTCAGAATCTAAAACAATTTAAACTCTTAATTTATAATATTTAGTATACGATATAACATCTAAAATATTTAGTTGTATTTGTAAAATAAATAATATTAAATTTTTGGGCTGTCAAATGGGCTACATGAATTTGATTACATACTATCTAATGATTGGTGTTTTATGTATATGTGTCTAAGGTGTTTTTTTAACCCTAATGTACCCGTGAATAAATAAATAATATACACATACATGAATTAATAACAACAAAAAATTAATATACAATATTTACAATAGTTTGTTGATAATAATATAATGCTTTGTAATTTAATTTTTTTTAAATTGTATTTATTTAATTTTAAAATGTTTTACTACAACTAGTGCTATTACAACTATATTAAAATATTAATAATACAAGTTCATGGTTAAAGAAACTAAGTTCGTAATATGAATAATAGTACTATTAGAGGTATGATTAATAATAATGTAATAACAAAAATGATTATGATGGTATTAGTATTTAGTATTTATCTTCATAAATTTTAAAAAACTTATCTAAGGTAATTTTTGGTAACTAAGAGTATTTAGTTTTTAAAATTTAATATTGTAATTCAAGGATTACTTAAAATCCTATAATACTACAATTGCATTTCAATATTAGTTGCATAGTTAATTCATATATATATAAAAACAATTAGATACATGAAGTGAGCAATTAATGATTAGGTATTATCAATAAAATAGAAACTGGATTAACTGTTAATATCAAACAAGACAATGATGGTTAAAGGCCCCATAAATGATCAAATTTGTTTGTCAAACTTCTTGTTTTCATCAAACAATGACGCAAATGATCATAACAAATATTAAACAAATTTGTTAAAAGCTCCTGTAGTTTCGGGTTTTTCCTTGCCGGGGAGTGTTGTTATATAATATTTATTTAATTTAAATAATGAGTAGTAATATAGATAATACGTTTTATTATTTTCAGGCTTTAAAGTTGTTCGTAGAATATTAATTTTTTTTTAACATCTTCAGTGATGTTCCAGCAACACACTTTTAACAATTCCAATTTTTTTAATTGCATTGATTCTCTTGTTTTTATCCATGTAGTATTTTGATTTTATCCTCCATAACATCGGCATGTCGATATATGGAGATAAATCGCAAAAGAAATTCTTTTTCAGAAATATTGCCGCTATTTTCGTTGTCATTCATCGCAATTGTGTTCTCCATGATGTTAAGGCGATAACTGAGACCTTATTTGACAAACACCATCACATACTATCAAACAGGTTTGTCAAACACGCTGTCAATCAAAATTTTCATCAAACACATTAAACATTAACATTGTTTGACAAACATGTCAAACAAGCTTGCACACTATCAACAAATTTTACAAAGACGTTTGTCAAATGAAAATTTGATTGTTTACAGGGCACTTAACAGAAATTTTTCCTCAAACCTATATATTTTACAATGTGATTAGAAGACGAACCTAATAAAATACATAATAATAAATAATAAATACTAATAATATATAATAATAACATAATAAAAAATATTAAAAAAAATAATCTGTCATCTTTTGTTTTTTTGAGGCATTAATTATTTGAGCGGCTATGTTTTGTATTTTATGAAGAAGACCTGCTTTGCATTTGCCTTCTCTTGTACTTCAAACGAATCCATGCATTTTATAACATTGCTTCTGCTTCTGAGTGGCTAGTTGGCAGTTTTAAGTGGAAGCATTGAATCTTTTTGAACTTTAAAACCTGGGGCACTAAGTTTCTTTCCACTAATGTCATGGCGAAATTTAAACTTATCAAGTCATCCCATACTTGCTTTGAAGCTTGGATCGCCATTCAGTTTTTTATTTATTTCACTTGCCTTGATCATTATAATAGGATCTAAAAGTGGAATTCCTTGACTTTGGGCTTGAATAAACCACTGATACATAATGTTGTCAAGTTGCTCATATTTTGCTGGTTTCATGGTTTTATGACTTCTTACATTTCCATCTTTGCATTAACAATACATGCTGCTCAAATTTTTCAGCATCACGTTTTATGTTATTCACTATTGTTCTCCTAACATCATAAATCTGAGCAATATTGGGAGCAGTTTCACCTTTCTTCAAATGTTTGATAATTTTGAGTTTTTGATTTAATCCTAAAATAACAAGTTTCCCCTTTTCTGCCATCTTTGAAACACAACAAATCAGTCAGCAACTTGATAGTCACTGGTTACATTGTAAATTTAAAAAGATTCAATTTGTTTATTATCGCTGCTTTTATTGTATATTTTGAATAGTACAAACTATTTTCACATGCTTGATAGTCCCCGCATTAGGCACCAGAACAGGTAAATCGAGTGACAATTTAACAAGTTTCTATAACATATATACAATGTACAGTGTATTTAGAATAGACACCTAATGCCTATTATAAATAAATTACATTTTGTTTATACAAATTAATTAATTAAATATTACTATTGTTTAGAGAGTTTAATATTATAAATATTTATATGAATATGAATTGAAAAAATAATGGGGATTATTATTGTTGTAAAAATATCAACTGTTCATGTAGTTGTCCTGGTTTTATCCATGACACAGGAATAAATTCTGGTTTGTCAATGGCTACTACCAAAATATCTGCTTCAGACACATAAACACAGAAGAATTATTTATAATTGAAATACGTTGATCAAATTTTTCTAACTAACTTTGTTTTGAAATTTCCTTAGTTTCAGACTAAAAAATCATTATTGTATTATCATACCATTCAAATAAACATGCAATATGTGTCCCAAAAATTAAACTGCACCCATATATCTCAGTTCTTGGTCAATCAGCAATTGTAGTACTAAAATTAAAATAACACAAATTTAAAATGAAAATGGGTATAATAAAAATAATAACAATAATAAATTAGAAATTTTTGAAACCATTCTGTAAACTTTCTTGTTATTGTTGTGCTTTTTTAATTATTATGAAAACTAACTTTTTTTATTAACAAACTAAATTCAAAATTAAATAAAAAAATGTTTGCTGTGGGTTTTTGATTAGAGCTACATTACTTGTAGAAAACAGACCTTAAAAATTAGTTTTGACTACGAGCAGAAACAGGCACCAGTACGAGAAGCAGTGAAATGGGTATCAGGAGTGCATGTGGAATAGTCATTGTACAGTAGAAGAAATGTTTAAAATATCTACACATTGAGGGCCACATGCACTCCTGGTCATTCTTCACCTTATCATTTTCAATACTGCTCATAAAAAACTTAAATGTGAAATATCTCGAGAATAGGTTGATAAAAATCAAACATTTTAATACCAAAATGTATTTAAACTAATAATCTATTTACTTATGGAATTTTAAAATGTAGTTAAATATTTGAAAATCAAAAGTTGATAGTCGCTTCACCTCCAAAATTAAAGATGACAAAAAACAACAGAAATAAAACTTTAAATTTTCTTAGAAAAAGTCAATATTTTGCAAAATAATAAGTGTTTAATGATAAAAAGAATCACCCTGTACACAACAATACATAATAATAATGTTAATAAATTTGCTCACTTTGGATTTGTTTGTTCCATTTTAGATATCTCAACCTTAGTTGTTGCAGGAACACAAAACTTTTTTGATGATAGGCCCTGTAAACAAAACCAATTGATTTATATAAGTATTTTAACAAATTATTATAAAGCCATTTCATAAATCAATAATGTCATCAGCGTTTAGTTCAACATATTCAAAAGACAAATTATTTTCATTCATTTAGTTTTCGATGTACAGGTTAAATAAATTAAATAAGTTATAATTAAATAAATCTAATTTTAATGTGAAGTAACCCAAAATATATTTTTATAATTAAACAAACAATTCAATTTCAAAGCAAGTATAATTTTTTACCAGTCTTTCTCTCAAAAACTATAAACTTTTAACATGAAAGAGTTATTAACTCTGGAACATTAGTGTGTGATACTATTAAAAAGATGTGTTGTCACAACCACATTGTAAAATATAAAAAAAATGAACTTTAAAAAGAAAATACTGTATTACTTTTCAAAATATTGTCCTCTGTTAATTTTATAATAAGTGCTTTTACTTTTAAACCAAAATTAAGAGAGTTTTATGCAGTCTGCGTAAGGTAGAATTTACTGTTACCCGTTAGTTGGACTAAGACAGCATATATGGATATCACAACCTTTTAAAATAGATTTTATCTCAGGGTTAGGTATAAATTAATAATAATTAGGATATAAAATGGAAAATTGTACTTCCGAGCCGTAAGTACAAAGAATTATTCATAGTCAATTTTGGTAATTGAATAAAAAATACCATGTTCTTAAATTCTGAAAATAGTAAGTATATTGGAGTTTACTTATATACAATTGTTCTCTATTTTTCTTGAAAATATAGGTAGGTACATATTTTGTTTTAATTACAACAAAATAGTTATCTATTATAAGTAGGTAATAAACATAATGATTACACTACCTACTATAATTTTTACAAGTAACTTTAATAATATTCAGATAATTAAAAAATGTGTTAATATAATTATAGAACGGAATATAACTGAAATTATTTTATTAAGGTAAACATGTATAATTAGTAATTACCAAATTAAATATTGGAAACTTAAAAGTTGAGATTCAAATACATCAAATTCATTCTTTTGCATACTTTGATGTATGATATAATCGTATCATACATCAAATTATCATACAATTGATGGTAACATTAATAAAAAATCAGACAAACGGTTATCACCACAGTCTAGGATAGAGAGTTCCATAGGCAGTAATTATCTATAGAGTTAAAACCATAGATAATAAAGAAATGTATTATATATGGTTAAGATATATAAGGTATATCTTTAATCATGGTAATAACTAATATTGTGGATCTAGTCGTTTCAGGATTCTATTATCGTGACTAGATCAAAATGATTTTTATTATCATAATAAATATCTATGTAGGTAAATATTTTTGAACTTTTAAATAATATTTTCCCCTTCAAAATAATTTTAGCAATATAAACTTCACACTTGCCAGAACCCTAGACTCAAAGTGTGATTTATGTGCCACAATTATATTGTCATGAAGTCAGAAGAATATGGTTAAGAATAGAATTTTCAAAATGCTAGAAATCTAGAAATTTAGCATCTAGGAATTATAATTAAATCATTATATGAATGAGTTTTCAATTTCCTCAAACAATATTATATTAACACATTGTTCAACATGTACTCCTGGTCATTTCTCACATTACTGCCCATCGAAACTTAAAAGTGAAATATCTTGTGAATAGGTTGATGAAAATCAAACATTTTAACACCAATATTTATTTAAACTAATACTCTATCTACTCATGGAAGTTTTAATGTAGGTAATTGTTTAAAAATCAAAAGCTGATAGTAGATTCAACTCCAAAATTAAGAATGACAAAAAATAACGTAAATGTAATATTAAATATTCTTAAATTTTTGAACAATTTTTTTGAAAAAAGATACTTTGCAAAAAAATGAGTGTTTAATGATAAAAAGAATCACCTTGTACACAATAATAATGTTAATAAATTTGCTCGCATTGAATATGTTTGACAATTTGCAAAGTTGATCAACTTTCATGTTAGATATTCCAATGTTGTTGTCGCACACATACTTTTTTGATAATAGGTACTGTAAACAAAACCAATTGATTAATATAGGTATTTAAACAAATTATTACATTATAAAATCATTTCTTAAATCAATATTGTCATCAGCGCTTAGTTTGACATAGTAATAAAAGAAATTATTAGTTATTCAGTTTTCCACGTATAGGTTAAATAGGTTAAATAAGTTAAATAAGTTATAATTTTTTACATCAAATAAATGTAATTTTAACGCAAAGTAATTCGAAATATATTTTTAAAATTAAATAAATAATTCAATTTCAAAACAAGTATCTTTTACCTGCCTTTTTTTTTCAAAAACTGTAAACCTGTAACACGAATGAATAATTTATATCTTTATCATTGGAGCTATAGTTGATGTTTTAATGATAAAAGTAAAGCTATATTATGAAAGTTAATTATTTAAAATTCAAAATTATATGCGAATTTTGGATAACAATATCGTGATAATAATTGTAATATTTAAAAACGGAAAACTGATACGATATTTTAGCGGTTGATGGTACTATGGTAGTTATGCGTATGAACCACAATTTATTGTAATAAAAAGTCTACCTAATAAGAGATTGATGGAGCAATCTGCTGAGCAATCCGCCGAATTATAATTAGCAAACGGATTTAAGAACACACGGATAGTTTAGGGAAATCATCTATGACAATTATTTCGATTTAAAATGATACATATATGATAAGACGGCTGCAATTAAACGCGATGATTGTAAAACAACGATTTTATGATAAATTCTTTAGACATCGACGAGACACATGATTGTTTCACGTAGCTATAGGCGGTAAGAATGAGTATATAGCATTGACTGAAAATCATTTGAGTTTACTACCACGTAGAGATTTGTAGCTATACGACATGAGACCTATAGTTGTAGCACGGTCAAGCGCACTCAAGGCGAATCGAATAATTACCATAGATAATAATATAATATATATTATCTATGTTTGAAGGGATTTGCCAATGGGGTAGGTACCTATGAACAAGAGGCGAAGTCGCGTAGGTACTGTTAACAAATATTATTAAATGAAATTAACAATATTATATTTGAACAAAGTATTTATAAAGACAACGTAAAACGAACGAAAAGTGCGGGTGACCACATGCTCGAGAAGCGCTCAAAAGGCCTACGCACACGCTAGTTTTGTTGCTGGAGCTCTGATCATAGGAGCTTGTATTGTAACAAATATCTGTCATTTTTCACTCTTATCTCTCTTCAAAACAAGACCGAATGGCAGGAGTTCGAGTGTTGATAACAGCTACGCGAACGCATTGATTAACTAATATATTATGTTATTATATTATATAATAATTCAATACACGGTCTTAGAGTATGATTCAATGTGATTTAAGATATACCTTATACCGTGGTATAGTGACGGTGACGGTGACGATGGTGTCGGCGGCGGTGACCGGACGCCGGCCGGTGCGCGGAGGCGTTGCCAACGTCCTAGCAGTGAGGTCCCCCCCGGGAGGAGAAATAGTGTGGCGTATCCGCCACAATAGTTAGCGTTCAACGCGATTGACGTGCGACGTTATCACCTTATCACTATTTCGTATTATGAAATGTCGATACAGGCGGGCACGGCGGGGCGTCATCGCGTCGAACATTCTCGAATTTTCGACAATATCGCCTGCGGACGATCCTGCCGAAAATAATATTAAAACCGTACGGGACGGCTATTCTCATGAAGTTGTCTGCGTACCCGGTAATACGGACGATCGGCCGATAGAAAAACAAAAAAAAAAAAACCATATTTCTATACGGTAATTTGAACGGCGCGCGCATTAAACTATCGAACCGCCCATCACGATAATCGATTCGATTGCGGCGGCGATTCGTGTTTTGTGCAATCGGCGGCCACCGGCTGCGCCACGAATTTCAATTGTGTCGCCGACGTCCGTTCAGTAGCTACGTCCTCTTTCTACCACTGCATCCCGTATTTTTTTGAATAATTGAATATTAGTATCGTTCGACTTGATTTTGTCCCGTCGCCGTTCGCAACACAACACAGGTAAATATACAAACGGTCGGGGGCAGTATATTATTAATATTTTTTATTCCGTACTCGCGTTTTTACCACCCGTTCGAAAATCGGTTTTCTCGCGGCCGGGCCGACGAGAATCGATTACGTAACCTCCACACACAGCCGCGTGTTTCCGACATTTTTTGAATGTCGGCCGGTCTTTAATTGCATTACGGGACGGTCTACCTAATGAATTGTAAGACTCCCGGTGTGTCGCGATTCGGCCTTTTCCTCGAAAATTAACCTCGCGCGAGTTTGGCCGAACGCTATTGCTGGCGGCGGCGGCTCGGTTGGGCGCTTTCTCGTCTCGATAATACCAATAATTATGACGTCGCGGCGTTACGTAACGTGTTCGGTTCGCACGCACAATAAATTCCATTGTATGTATATTTTTAATAACGCGTTGGCAATAATTACGCGCTGGTTTTGCGGCGATCTTTCGATGTTAATAATTGTCCGCAGGATACGTTTGTTTTTTTTTTTTTCTCCGTGCAAACGAAACTAACCTATGCGCCCACCGCGGCCGGCACCCATAAAAAAAAAAAAAAAAAAAGACGTCGTCGCGGTTATTATCTAGACTGCTCGCCGATAATCATCGATGTCCGTAGCCCCCGTGTAATCGTAAATAATATTTAGATTATTATTAATTTTTTTTTCATACAAAAATATTTACCGATAATTTGATCACGTTTTCCGAGTAAAAATGCTTAATGTTAATCGCCTTTCGACGTCTTAACGAATTTTCGATTAATAATGAATCTTATTATTATTATTTTTTTTTTATATTCAACAGAATTCATCGTTTCGTTTCACGGTTGTCGAATTTGTCGTTGCTTAATTCCTGTAAGATTTTAATTTAAACGACGTTTTTCGAACATTAACCATTTTCGACCAGTGGATAACTCGAATCCTTCATCAATTTATGTTATGACGTTTTTCCCGTTTATTATTTTTAAACTTTTAATTAACCACTTCTCGTAACTATTATTGTTTTCTTCTAAACTATAGAACACTGATAATTATAATCCAGACAACTTCTTTAATGATTAATAACACTTAAATATTTTGTTTTATAAATGTACTGATTTGAAATATATCTACTCATTAATATTTTAAGTATCTATGTTATATTTGCTTTAAAATAATTGAAATTATAAAATAAACAATGATTTAATTAGCAAATATAGATAGGTACCCAGAGATTTTAACAAGTGGGTTAACCTTGAAAAATAAACAATTACTATAGTCTATAAAACCTATCTACTTATTAAAATTGTATTCATCACTTCGATTAGGATTACCTACAAACTAAATTCGCTTGTAGATTGTTATTTAAATTTTATAATTTTAGTAATAATTTTTATTTTTTAAGTGCTGAAAATTAATTATAAAATGAACAGTTATTCTATTTCTAATCAATTTCCTAATGTTTTACCAATTCATAATATACCAACATATATAATCATATGTTATGTAAGGTTTATACATAGTATTATAATGTTTAATATTATCAATCTCAAAACTGTAGATGTTGGTAAAATAAAATAATATATTGACGGCCAGTAAACAATAACAGCAAATTGCACCTGTGTACATAATATCTGATGAAGTAAATAAAAATATTTTGGAACATATAAAAATTCATTTGTTTGTTCAATTTGTTAAATTATATATACCTTGTCATTATTAAAGTTCATAAATAATTATGTTGTTTTATAATAAGTATTTGAATAAAAAGAAATAGATTCAACCAACCAAATATAATGTCTAGGTACCTATATTAGATTATTAAATTTTAATTGTTTGAACATAGACAATTATCATTTGAATAGTTGAATGATAATATTAATAACTACTTATGACATGCAAAATAAATCGATGGAAATTTTACACTATTTTTTTGTAGGTACATTGTACACACACGCATAATCAATTGTTAATGTTAATTATTTAAATTATATGGGTATTTACTATTTTCTTATTGTATGTCTATTATAGCTGTTAGAAATAACTAATATAAAATCTATCTAATGACACTTATTCAAAATATTGATTTAAAATTTTATAAATATTATTTCATTTTCATTTTATTCAGAAATATTTTAATATTGCAGCTATAATTAGGTACTCTAAGTCTGTAACTAGTGGCATAATTAAGAAATAGTTTAAAATATTGGTAAATTAGATAATAAATATTTTAAAGTTTTAGAAAATCTTAATTGTTAGAAATAATATAAAATGTTAGTTTAGTTATCAATTAACTAAATTTATATCAGGTGTAGAATTGTGATTTAATGCAATAACCCTTAGCTAATAATAATAATAATTTGTAATAATTGTTTTTTGGATTTTACTTATTATTTATTGCTATATTAAAATGTTTTACTTATTAATAATACTAGTTGGGGCAATAAAAAGTAAAACAAAATTATTAAATAGTTAGTATTCGTGAATAAATATACCTATAAATAAATAAATGGGTCGCCTGAATTATTACGAAATGTATATTGTATAACTGGTTTCGAATTAAAAATTCATCGTCTGGTAAAATCACAAAGTCAAAAAGTAAAACTCCTCTGAATATGAAAAAATAAATGAAATAATTAAGTTTAATAGGAGAGATTATTTAAAATGAGTTATCTCATTTTGTCTGACAATGAATTTTTAATTCGTAACCAGTTGTACAATACACATTTTATAATACTACAGGCGACTCGTTTATTTATTTACATATTTAAAAAGTAAATAATATTTTTATTTTTTACATTGCTTATAAAAGTGTTTTAATCATGATACATACTGCAAATTTTAGTTCAATTATTTTAAAATTCTCAATATTTATCTGAATGTAATTTGTATTTTTCAGAAAAATGGTTTTATTGCTCGAAAAACCAGCTCCAAAATTCAAGGGGACCGCTGTTATAAATGGAGAATTCAAGGAAATCTCACTGGACTCTTACAAAGGAAAATATGTGGTTTTGTTTTTCTACCCATTGGATTTGTAATACATATATATATTTTTTTATTTACACTTCTAAAATGTTAATTTTTCTCTAGCACTTTTGTATGCCCAACTGAAATAATTGCATTCTCTGACCGTGCTAATGAATTCAAAGCCATCAATTGTCAGTTGATTGCGGCTTCCTGCGACAGCCATTTTAGCCATTTGGCTTGGGTTAACACTCCTCGTAATGAAGGTGGTTTGGGAAAAATGCAAATACCTTTATTGGCCGACAAGTCTGCTGCTATTGCCAAGGAATACAATGTTTATAATGAATCTACTGGAATCCCATACCGTGGTTTGTTTATCATTGATGGCAAGGGAAATTTAAGACAAATTACCATCAATGATCTGCCAGTTGGACGGTCTGTAGATGAAACTTTGCGTCTTGTTCAAGCTTTCCAATTCACTGACGAAAATGGAGAAGGTATGTATTATTTGAAAATAATATGCTTTGTTGGGATTTAACGGGTACATAATTTATTAACAAACCTGGTACCAAGTATTAATCGAGGAATAATTTATATATATGTTGAGCACAGAATATGGTATTCGTATATAGATAGGACTATGGCTGGGCCGCTCGTGCGCTTGTTTACTCCTCCACATAACTTGATTTCAGTGAAGGCAGCCGATTGTCATTTCTTCCGTTTTTGACTATACACCGCTAGGATATTTTGTAGAAATTCAATTGTTATTATTATCAGACATCGCACGTTTTTTTACCTTTGCTGTTTTATAACCTGTTGATGATTTTTCAAATCGTATATACAAGCACTTTCTATAATAATCCAGACTTTGTTTTTTTTATATACATATTTATTTATTTAATATTTTATTGAACACTATAGGTATAGTACAGTAGGGTATAATACAGTAGGTATATATTTATTAAATAATAAATTATTATATTAAAACATTTCCTTTTTTTCGTTAAAATTACAAATTTATAATACTAATTATTCGTCATATTTACATAATCTTTTTAAAATAATTAAAAAAACTGAGAAAAAAGTAAAAATTACCAAACTGTACAAAAAAGTAAACGCTGTAAAAATGACGTGTGCATACACCACGGCAATTGGCGATAAACAGTGGACTATCGAGAGTCAACAGTGCATTATTTGAAAGGCAGTCTACAACACCTGCACCACTTCTGAAATTGCCGTTGCAGCGCTGTCGATAGATCTGGGAGAGGATAAATGGATAGATGTTGGGGATGCGCTGTGGCGATTCGGTTTGGTCTGAGAGTGACCCGTTCTCCCTATAGACCAGATATAGTAATTTTATTTTAAAAATTGTATTATTATAAATTCAAGATTTTTGATAAATGGTATACCTATACTTGACCGTAGACTGTAAAACCGCAACTCACCTGCGCATCCCCCTACCACACGGTTACTGATATCTGAATACTACTGTGTCTCAATGGTGATGGTGTACAGCGCAAAGCGCTCGCGCTAGAATAGTGGTGGGGATGCACAATAATGAACAAGTGTCATAGTATATGGAGTATATTATATATTTACTCATTTGCAGTGATTATAGTGGGGGGAATGGAAAAGAAATAGTTGTAATGAGCCCAATGTAGTAATAGGATTTTGAGGTAAAAATGTCTTAAATAAATCAAACTCTTACTTAAGTTTATAAATAATTAATATTTTCCATACAAAAAAAAACTACAAGTCCAATTTAATTTCACATACAAAAATATTTCATAATACAGAGTGACTCCAAGTTGCTCGCATTTGATCGCTGATTAGATAATGTTTCGTATATATGCTTGGAGGGACTCCTATCTATATTTTATTGCTATCTGGCAAAACCAAAATTACATATGTATTAATATTATTATAATATTATAGAGCAGCTATCTACATTTAGTGCCATTTTTTCATACTTCCTGGAATCTAAGTATTGCTCATTGGTTTGCGTGTTTTATTATAAATATTATATATTTATTTTATATTAACTTAGGACTACCCTTGTTCCACATGATTTGATAAATTCAAAAAGGTACATTTTACTATTGCCTTCTGTTTCCCCTTATTTTGATTGTTGACTTTATCATTTCATTATATATTTTTGTACTGTACTACTTTATATGTAGTTGTCTATCTCTTTTATTTCGTTTATGGTGCATTTCCATATTATTTAATATTTTCATATTATTAGATTATATGTTCACTTTATGGCAGTTGTTTTATGCCTATCTGTGCCCTTGGTATATAAAATGTGCTATTGTATTTTATAGAAATCTTAGCTCTCTGTTTTGGTTGTGGTCCCCCTTTTGAATTATAATTACTATGGGTTCACACGCGTATACTTTTAGTAGCGTATGGTAATGAAACATGGTAGGTACGTAACATAGTCTTCCTTGTTTTTAAGTTATCAGTTGTTTTTCATGGTGTATGGACATCAATCATATATGTTGAGTTTTGTTCTCTTATCATTTTTTATCAAAGTGATTTAAAATTGTGGGCTTTTTCAATTTGTTAGTTTGTATTCTTACAAAATTTATGATAATAAAGACATCAAATGTAAAAATACAAAATATTTTTACACTTTACATGTGCTGGTTTTAGAAAAACAAATTTCAGGAACATGAGTGCTGTGAAAATAGCAAAGATTGTATTTTTGAGTTAAGTTATAAAAATAAAGTTAACTTTAGTAAAGGACTGTAGTAACTCGGATAAACTATTAATTTCATGAGTGGGCAATTTGATAATTTTACTATGCAACCACGAGATAAAATTGAATTGATTAAAGATGTTAGTGGTGAGAATAAGAAGTTAAAAGAACAAAATCAAAAATTTCAAAATGAAATGAGTGTAGTTCATAATAAAATTAATTTTTTAAAGCAAAAATTAATTGAAAATCATATTAAAATAGTTAATATTTCGGAACAAGAATATGAAGACTTTCAAATTTGTAAAGAAACTTTCAAAGGCGTTATTGGAACCTGTATCTATTGAATATGCTTATCAGATTCGGTCAGAAATGCAAAAGAACCATAGAAAATGTGCAGCTTATCTTAGTAAATGAAATGGCCAAAACATTGGAGTTGGCAGGAAAGAAATAACTTAATGCAAAGAATGTCAATGCAAAATAGAATGATGAAGATATTCTTAATTAATCATTTAATACATATTTTTAAGGAAAGATGAAATAAATAATATCATTGTTATTGAGGATGAAAAATGTTCAATTAATATTGCATAAAAACTACATATATAACTGTCATTATTATTTGTAGTATAAATGTATAAGTTTACTCATTTTTAGCTTATGAATGCTTTAGATATAGCTGATATAGTCATATTACTAATTATTACCTATCAATATCTGAAGCAGGGGTTGTTAGCACAGGGCTAACATTCCTGCCTACTTAAAAGAGCCTTGTTATAAAATCAACTACACCCAAGCCTCGGACAAGATTACATGGTTTTTGGAAAGGGAATGCTGATTTTAAGATTGCAACATGGAATGTGACAACTCTGTATAAAATGGGTGCAAGCCAAAATTTAGCTGATGTTTTGGACACTAACAACAAAAGATAGCAGTCATACAAGAAATAAGATGGTTGAGGGTAGGCCAATTAACAATTGAAAAATACACAATTTTTTTATCTGGAATGGAGAATACTCATCAATTCAGTAGCGGTTTTACAGTTCATAAGACTTTAGTATCTTACATTAAAGACTTTAATCCAATATCTGAACAGATATCAATATTAACAATTAACACTAGTCCAATTAATATTTGTATAATAAATGGACATGCACTTACAGAAGTAAAGGATAACAATGTGAAAGATGCCTTCTACTGCGATGTGATGTGACATGAAAACGATTAATCATAAGTGACTGGTGCTATCAGTTGCTTGGTAAAAGTTACCTTGTCAACCTTTGTGGAAAAGATCTAAGAAAAATGTTCCTTCTTAGTTTATTACCAGATATTAACACCATGACTGATCAACAGAATGTTTAAAAGAAAAGTATTGGATTTAATTGGTGATATTTTAACTGAAAATCCAACACCTCAAAATGAAACACAGACTTCAAACATTCGTCCTCAGACTGTGTTATCTAATTTCTCCAGTTTGTCAATATCTACATATAATCACTCAAACAACTGTTTCACGCCAATCCACTCCCCTAAACAAGTTAACTCACAAATGTGCAATCAAAATGAAAATTGAATAGCTGAACATGACATAAAAAATACTATTACGAGTACTATCTATTGTATTCAAATATATGTTTTATAAAAATAATTTATTGTGCTTAATTTTGTTTTATATTTCTATTTCTATACTATTATTATGTTTATGTTTCATCTTTTCTTTATTCATCTTTCATGCACACATACACAAAATTAGTGTCTTGTTTTTCAATAGCCAGTCTATTTGCTCTACAAAAAAAAAAAAAAAAAAAAAAAGCTATAATGATTGTTTATAAAAAAGTAATACTTTTTTTTGTTAGCAAAATGAAAATCCCATGAGGGAAAATAGAATTTAATATTAAAATGCTTTACACTAATACAAGTTTTGTCAAAAATTCATAAATTATTTGGGTCCGGTAAATTTTAATTCTTTACCAATTGATGTTAAAAAAAATATATTCTTGATATAAATATTAATAGTAAGAAATGTATAAATAATGTATTATTTAAGGAAATGTTTATAATTTGGTAATATTAAGCCTTTATTTCTATTTCTCTATTTTTTATTTTTTTTATTATTATTTGTAACTTAATTTAATTTTTTATCTCACATGTACTATAACTCCCAACACTACCTCAAGCTCTAATTAAAGGCGAAGGTAATTTTTGCTATTTTTCTTAATACTTTGTGTGTTATATTAATATGATGATAAATTTCTTTTAAATTTAAAAAAAAAGTTGTTTGGAGTTGGGGTACAGAGTAATGGGTCAAGTAAACATTTTATAACACAGTACAAGTAATAAAAAATATGATATGGGGTACTGGGTTAAGACTTGATGGCCAGGTACCCAGAACACCCCTAATACTTAGTGATTTTAAGTAGGTCCTTGAAATAAAATTATTTTATTTTATTTTTCTAGTTTGTCCTGCCAACTGGAAGCCTGGTAGCAAGACCATCAACCCAGCAAAATCTCAGGACTACTTCAAAACTGTAGAATAATTGTATTATACTTAGGTGTAATACACTATTCATTTCTCCAATGATTTATTTTTATAAATTCTTATTAAAATCAATTCATTTGTTTACATTACAAAATGTTTAAAATTAATGGGAATAAGGTATTTAAATTTTTTCTTTGTAGTATATAATAATTCCATATTAATTGCATTAGTAATTTATAATTTTTCTTTTTATTCAAATTATTATTTATCGCCATACAAGAATAAATTATTTTTCAATTATATTAGTATTAAAAAAATAAAGATTTCCATTACATTTTTATGATGAGAGTTTTATTTTTCAAATGATAGCAATATGTATTGTTTACATTGTTTATTCCATAACCACATATCTAGATTTAATAAAAATAATATAAAATATATTATTGATATGTAATCATCATAAACAGTAGTCATATGAATCTTCCAATTTTATTCTTCATAATTCAAAAATGTCAATGTGAAAATAAAATAATTTAATCATTAATCTTATGATAAGTTATTTTGTGGTAATTTGATAAGAATTTGAAATGGAATGATAGCGATGGGAACACAAAGAACTGAGGTGGGTAAGAAAATCAACAATAACAAAAATATATGTTGAACCGGTATCACCAATGATAACGTATTTATTTTATACAGGTATTAATTTTAAAGGGAAATTTATGCCAGTATAATCAAACGAATTTCTAAATAGTTATTACATCAATGTTCCCACAATCGAGTGTTTATGATATCAAAATGAAACCTTCACTAAATTGTTTTTATGACTTGGTGAGGTGACCTATATTTTGTTCGAAAATATGTTTCATTAAATACAAATAGAGCGCTATTGAAAAGACAAGCCCACAGCATGACTATGGATATACAGTGGGTCAAAATAGTCTGTACACTGATGTTAGATTTTTTCCATTACACATAATGATAATTAAAAAGTTGAATAACTATATTTTTAACAAAAATTTATTAGGAAACACATAAAAATTAAGCATATATATTTATTATTTTATTATTTACGTGTATATTTATAAATAAATGTAAAAATCTAACAACAAAAAAGTTTCCGTGCAACATAACATAAATATTTTTAACTCAATACAATATAATAATTATTATCACTTTATTATAATTAATGGTCAGTTGGTCCTCCTTTATCTTTAATTACTTCGTGCATTCGCTTTTTCATTGATTCAACTAATTTTATTGTAATAGTAGGGTCAATACTATTCCATATTTCAAGTATTCCATTTTTCATTTTTCATTTTTTTTTAGACATCTACCTATTTCATTCCATTAATGTTTTATCGGATTCATGTCTGGTGATTACAGAGGTTGCTTTGTCAATCGGTACAACAACCATTCTATAACAGTATGTTTTGTGTCATTATCTTGTTGAAAAATAAACGAATTGCCAATGTTTAGTTTTTCAGCACTGGCATGCAAATTCCATTGATAAATACCAAATTACCAACACCAGTAGCGCTCATACAGCCCCAAACTAATACATTACCACCTCCATGTTTTACTGTTGGGCACAAATGTTTGCAATCCATCTGCTTATTGGGTTTTCTCCACACCATAACTCGCCCATCTGAACCAAAAATGTTAAACTTGTTTTCATCACTGAATAATACAGATTTCCAAAAATCATTTCCCTTATTAATGTGTGCCTTCGCAAAATCTAAACGTTTCTTATTATTTATTTTACTGATAAAAGGGTTTTCCTAGCTACACAACTTTTATATCTTGCGTTTCTTATAACATTACGAATGGTCAGTGGAACAACTTTTATATTATAGTCAGTGTCAATCATACCTGCCAGTTTAGGTGTTCTGGTTTTTGGTTCTATCACAACTGATTTAATTTTAATTTTTGGGAACGACCAGTACGTTTTCGATCTTCAAAAGAACTAGTTTCGTTGTATCGGTTTATAATATATTGTACAGTGGAGTGCGAGTTTTTTATTGTTTGAGCAATATTTCTGAGAGAATTTCCATCTTCTCTTAATTGAACTACTACTTTACGAACAGCAATCGGTATTTCCATGGTTTAATGTAAATAAATGAATAAAACGTACAGTACGACTGATGGCTAGGTACCTACTGTCACGCTCATCATACTCACTGGGTTTTATCGTCAGATTATATTGCCAGACTATATTATTGTCTTAATTTATGATAGAAATCTCAATATCACGATTTTTTTCCATCTCAACACTATTTTCAACTAATATTCATATTATATACGGAAACTTTTTTGTTGTTATTTATCTGCATTTATTTATAAATTTACACGTAAATAATAAAATAATTAATGTATATGCTTTATTTTTCTAAAAACATAATTTTCATGTGTTTCCTAATAAATTGTCGTAAAAAATATAGTTATTCAACTTTTTAATTATTATGTGTAATGGAAAAAATTTAACATCAGTGTACGCAGACTTTTGACCCACTGTATTTATATCTATGGCCACAGTTAAGCTGTAGGTAGATATCGTAAAAATAAATGGTTACTGAAATACTTATTTATTGTATTCTTACTACAGGATACTAGTGTACCTTCAACAACTTAATACGAGTTAATTATTACATAATATATGCGTGCCAGTAGCTGAACAGCTTTGTGTGTTTTGCACAGCATAGAAGATAGATTCATGCCATTGGCTAATTTATATAATTAATTAACATTGAGCATTCATTGAGTTATGAGGGCTATGACCCTGATATATCTAAGTATATATTATATAACCGTACTCAGTAGTAGAGAAACCAATGTTCAGCGGTTAACAGTTGATATGAGATAACATTGTTATCACCTTTATAGGTATTTTCTACCGAAATATGGTTCTAACAAAATATTTTTCTATCCAAATATTATTCTGATAATAAATTTTCTTTACAACTACTGTATTAAATATTCATCGGATTATTTATTTTTCTGATAAAATATCATTCTAACAAAATATATTCGTACTTTATACGCGTCCCTCTTGGTCAAAATATTGTTATGTTCTAAGGACCCCTTCACAAGTGGCCACTATCAGTAGTGCTTCTTTCTGCAGTGAATGAAACCGTTTGTAGCGCTTCCAATCTTTGTCTGTGGTCGAGTGTGAAACCATCCATTTATCCTTATGTTTTTCGATTATCAGCTGGGCTTCTTATGAAGCGCTGCTAAGTGGCTACGTGTGAAACCATTACGTGTAATACAATTATATTTTTTATCAGCCAAAGTAGTGGCTATTTTATGGTATTTTTATGTTTTAAAAATATTAAAATGGGTTTTTATTCAAAATAGAAAAAAATCATAAATACTTCTGTTGACATCGAATAATTAGAAATAGAGCAAAAAATATTCAAAATAAGTTGTTTAAAATACAAGGGAAATTAAGATATGAAGGGATTCAGGCAATGTCTAGATGTCAGTATTTTATGTTTAATACCTAATTGTCGTAGGCAGAGAATAATTAAGAAGACAATTTCTATATATTATTATAATATTATGTACTATTATGTACCTTACAGAGGCTATATAAAATAATAAAATATTGTCTTCTTAAACTGTCTATTACTTATTATTAAATTAATAATAAATACTAATTTAATGAACAGGTACCTACATATAATACAATAACAAAAATTTGAATATCACAGCTGTATGTAGGCTGGTATATACTGATATTTAGACATTCATCAAATCCTTTTATAAAAAATTTTTTAACATTAATTAATTGTGTTGCAAAATAATATAAATAATAATAATTAATACATTTATTTATGTGTTTAACGTTCATATTAATATATTTTATTTATTCATATTTCATTTTAATAAAAAGTAATAATGCATGAACCGGTTTATTTAAGTGATAATATTTTAACTTATTTTTACCGAGATCATTAGTATCATTAGTTTAAATAATCATCATTACTTTTCTTTATACATATAAGTTAATCAACTTCAAAACAACAGTTAAACAAACAATAGGTATAAATAACTTCTTATTAGATTATATACCTATATATGTTATGTATAAATAAATCAATTTCTTATTATGAAAGTACTTGTTATGGCATATAATATTATATAATTATGTTTTAATTATATATAAATATTAAAAATATTGAGTAAATAGGTTTTTTTATCCCCTTTCTTATTATTCTGGATATTGTATTACAAAGAAAACTATTGGTTTAGTATAAGAATTTAAAGCGTTTCATTTTCTGGATATTACAGTCTACATAAATACTGATAATGATATTTTTTCGGATTATTACAGTCCGTCTAATTATTTACTATTAGTTACCATTCCGCCCAGAGCCTACAACATACTTAAATCCACCCCTGATTATAATTGGATATATATTTACTATGAAAATTGAAACACGTAATTATGTGGTCGAGTCCCTAAAAACAAAGATGAAAAATATAAATGAGAAAATGCATTAAAAACTGTTTTTAAAAAGTTATAGCATGTGCTTGATATTTTAAGGAGAGTGATATAAAGTCTTCTTGGGAATCTGGTGAAGGCAAACATAAATACAGAGTAAGATTAATATATTATTTTAGTGTACTTATATTATTACCATTTTTCAATAAATGGTAAATTTCTATTTAGATATGTCTAAAGTTCTTAAACTTTTGAATGGAGTAATTCCATCAGTATGTAAGAAGGATTAAAACTGCCAAATTGAAACCAAATATTATTTAATTTTTAACATGTAATTGTAATGATCACGAAAATTAAATATTCACAGATGTTTGAATTTGTATATAATGATGAGAATGCGTCAATACAGCTACCTATTCAAAAAATAATGAAGTCAAACAATAAAATAAAACAAAATAAAAATTATCAAAATTGGTCACTTCTAGAAATTGAGTTTCTAATTAAAAGCTAAGTAGGTAGGTATAATATAATATAAAGATTTTATTATGTGAACACTTTCTACACCAAAGTTTACTACGATATAAACCCTTAGTAAATTGTCTTGGATTGGAACTTAAGGGAGGCCATTTTTTGATTTTCTCATCAAATGTAAAAATACAAAAAAAATTTAGAAATATATTAAGATTAGTTTTTCAGTTGACAACTTTTTTACCAGCAATTATGCTTCGATTTACAATTATGGCACTTTTTCTAAAAGGAAATCTAATTGGGGAGGTACTTTGGAGAGGTAATTTTTTGATTTTCCCCAAGATTGTTGACTTTTTTCAACAAATGGAAAAAAAACATGGTAATACCGGAAAAATTATAGGAAAAACAGGAAAATCAAATCAATATTAAAGAAATATTATTAAAGAAAACATATAATTCCTATTTAATTATTTTACCATAGTCCATATGATGTATATATTGTTGACAAAGCATCACTATCAACTGATCTCTACTTAGAATCATTCTTTCGTTATCAATGGTTTATCGTTGCTTATATATATTTAACATTCCCTCTACTACCTTTTCAACTTCTCACAACAGTGGCTTACACACGTGCGAAGTATGTTTTAGTTTTATGTTCACCTTATTAGATTATATATTACCTACTTTTTTCCATACCTCTAAGTTTTTTAATATTAATTAATATTATTAGTAACATTTTTCGAATCTATAGCTATTAACAAAAATCATATAACCAGGTAATTGTCAAAACAAGGAGGCTATTAAACAGCCGAACTGTGTTTTAACCTACTGTATATAAAATGCATACGAAATTCTCAGAAAAATTTAAAGTATTCCAGTTTGTATAATTCTCTATTTTGAGCACTGATACTATATAGCAGAGCTTAATTCAGATTGAAGTAGATTAGTAGAATATTTTCTATGATAAAAATATATATTATTTAATTAAGTTTAAAGTTATTACCTATTATTTTTAATTTCAATCATTTGTAAGCATTTAAATCATTCAAGTGTAGATAAACATTCACTTATACATGTTGGATTTATTATCAAAACTAAGTCAATATATTTTCCAATTAATTTCATTGATTAAAAATTCAAAAAATGTAGAAATGGATTACTTGAGGCATCTGGGTGACTTCCTTTTCATTTTAAAATAGCATGTAAGTACGGAGTTTCTCTTAATTTTATTTATTTCTTATCATGCGTTATCGTTTTTTGGAAGATCTTATCTCTTTTTTACAATCGGCTGCTTAGACCATATAACCTAAGGTCGGCTGTAATATTTTCAGATAAAATACTATCGGCTCAAATATTTTTCGGTTGTTTTACTCGCTCCCTCTAGAGAGCCTATATAAGGTGTATATATTATTACATATATTATATAGGCTTTTTACCTGTGTCGCATTACTACTGCAATGGTTTATTATCAAATAACATTATCTTATCATCGACCCTTATAAAATAACAATAAATAATAAAGAAATCCAGACAGTAAAAAAAACGGTTTATCACTAATAAAATAAATTCTTATCATGAACTCATAAACGGTCTCGTGAACGATCCTTTACTAGTAAATTTCAACTAATTTTTAAAATTCTATTGTTAACATTCAATTTTGTACCTATGTTGTCTACTCAGCTCCTGAAATTGTTCAACTCGTTTGTTTATTATCCATCGAAATTCTATTGCTGATGTTTAAACAAATATCTCTGTAAGTACCTACCAAACAATATTTTTATTTAAATATTGCCAATGTTCTTTTAATCATTATTTTATATTTTGAAATTAAATATTTTATAATAAATAATAATTAATTAACACAATTAATTAATATTATTTTTGATCAAATAGGTATATATGTCTATAGTTATACACTTGTACCCAGTAAACACAGTACGTATAATTTACGTTGTTAATATTTGCATATATTATTAGTATAATAAACGTGGATAATATGTGTTGGTCGAACGGGCGTTAATATATCTGTAAAGATATAAAAAAAGTAGATATCATGAATGATGATTATTTTCTATTATTTCTAAAACTTATTACAAATCTATGCATATTTTGTATACCCCTATACATTATTTAATTATTCTCTTTCTTTTCACGATGAAATAATAACTGATTGAATTGTTTAATGATTACCCATTCATTAAATTAATAATTCAACGAAATAACAATTATTAATTTATCAAAACTTTAAGTATTTTATATGAATACCTAATCAATTGTTCAATATTATATCATGTAGGTATATGTATATTGTATAGGTTAAGTTAAAAGGATGTGATACCTTCAATTGCTGGCTGAGTTTAACTAAAGAAAAACATAGCAAAAGCATGTTTCTGCTGATTAATTAGAATTTGCTTGATTTTAGTTTTAAAGCGCCTATTATAAAATTAAAAATGGATAATATTTAGTCTATTTAAAATTTTCAAATGTATATTTGTATATGTTAAAAATTATATTATTAAAGGCAACTTTACATTGTGTTATATACACAGTCCTGAAAAAAATTGTACTTAGTACTACCTACTCGTTCAACATTAGGACTAGAGTACGTTTCACGAAACTAGCGAATCCGTAGTTGTGCTTCCGGTTGCAGATTTTCGTGAGGGTTTCTTAAATGTGACTAAAAAAATACGGTAGTTTAAAAATGACGCGGCAATCAACCATCGAACAGCTGGCCCTATTGATATGAATTTTACCTTCCACTGCTATACATTTTATAACTACCATATAGGTACTCCATAATAAACACACAGTCGCATGGTGATTGGTGAACGTATTACGGTTGATAACGATAACAACCATATAATTTTGAGAAACCACGGAACGCCAGAAGCGCTATTACGGAGTCGCTAGTTTCGTGAAACGTATTACAGAAAACAGCTACAATACGTAGCTGTTTTCTGCTGAATGACTATTAAAATAAACTCCTATTACAGGAGTTGAATAGGTAACATTATATACACATGTATATCTTATCAAATATTGATAACGGAACGTACATATATATTTAAATAGGTGGTTTGAAGTTTTGGACTACGGCAGTTTATAAGGAATATCGAAATTTGATCGCGGATAATTTGCTGTTATCACGACACAATATCATTAAAACCAAGGTTTTGAATTTTGAATGCGTTTCTGAGTTCTCAAGAGTTATAACATTTTTCTGTTGTGGTTCGACGTTCGTTCAGTCGCCACTTTTAAACATACAAATATTAAAACAACATATTAAGCAACATCGTCTAGATGTTTTTATGAGACGTTCAGATTGCCATCATACAGATTAAACGCAGACATTGACACGGTAAGATAACAAAAATTATAATTTATAAAGTAAAAAAAAACATTTAATTTCTCTGTTGTTACACTGGTGGTGATTATTTTATGTCAATTTAATTATGGTGTGACAATTTTTTTTTATATGCAACTATTTATTTTGGCTGGTACGTCAAATTGAATAATTATTAAGCCGAAATTTTGTATGATTAGGTAGGAACTAGACAACTGATCCCCAGAGGTTTTATGGCTGACTCCTACCGCCGGCCGTCCGCATCTTAGCGCTGGGCGCTACTTGCGAGCGGTCGTGGTGCATGAGCTACGGCGGCAACCGCCGCCTGTCCAGGGTCTTCAGAGGGAACACCGGCCCCACACTTTTTTTTAGGTAGTCACTAGACAGTAATAAATAGAAGGCTATTGTATTATGAAAAGGTCCATCATACCTTTTCATTAAAGTAAATTATCTTCGACAATTTCGGTTTGCGTTTGTTATGTATAATACTTGTTTTATCAATTTCTTAATCAAGTACCAACAATGATATAGGTAAAAGGACACTTATTCTTGTAGTGATGTATTTAAGAGTTTTGCCAAAAAAGGAGATATTGAATTTAGAAATTTTTATATTATAATAATGTGTATTCAGGTAAAAAAAAAACACCTATGTTTAATGACTTTTATATTTTTGTAGGTAATTTATTATTAATGAAATTAAATAGGTAGGTGCCTAATTATAAGTATACTAAGGTAAATAATTATTTACTATTTAAGTACAAATTTGATTTCGCTCATAATATAGTGATTCCGACATAGTTTCATTTTAACATAAATGTTTAGATTTTTTTAATAAATTTATCAACACATTAAATTATTATTAAGCAATTAAATTAGGTTTTTTCTGGCTAAAAGGCAAATAAATTTGAATTTAAAACTAGTTTAGTTGTATAAATAATAGATATCTGCTATAAAAAAAGATCAAGGGGGAGATATATCTCCTTAATCAGTCCCCTGTAAATATTCCACTGCAAACATTTTGGTTTTTCTATGCAATATTCAGTAGGATATTTAGTTATTGGTAATAGGAAGTTTGGTCTCCTAATACTACTTAAACAGTAATTTAAAAAAATAAAACAACAAGTTCTCACTTTTATTCATTATCCAATATTATTCACTATAAGTTAAGTTTACGTAATAATTTTTTCAATTTCCAAAAATTCTGACCTAAATTAATTTTTAAATACAGGGTAACTGTGTTGAACACAACATTCATTTAAATATGTATTATTAGACTATGTCTGATTATATACTAAATTTATCAAAAGCTATTAAGATAAACCAAGACTAAATTTATAATAATGTTAAAAATCAATTAGTACCTATTAGTTTGGTATTATACTTGTAAGATATGCATATCTTGTCATAGTCTCAATAAGTTTCATGAATTTAGTATATTCTTTTATTATTATACTAGTTAAATTGGAGTGTTGAATAACCAAAACAAAATTGAAAGTATAATTTAAAACAAATTAGTGTTATAAATTATTAATTATTAGTCATCTGTGGCCAGCTTTATCATAGATACATAATTATTTATAAATGTAAATTTACATATTATAAGTCTATGGCCTCATTACCAACTGTGACTACAATATGTCTACATTATGCCTTTTATCATGAAAACCAATGGACTAAACATTCTGTAATTAATAATTTTTCGGTGACTAAATGTCCAACATTCAGGGATAAAATATTGTTTGACCTTTATTTTATATGAGTCGTTAAATCCTAAAATCAATAATGTTTATCTATTTATTTCTAAAAAATATATACCTAGGTAGGTCTCATTTTGTTTCTATCATATTATCCACAAAAAACGTAAAAGAGTAGGTAGGTGTTTGTATTTTATGTAATCCAAAAAAAATATATAACAATTTATGATTAATGTAAATGAAAATATAAACACCAAGTAATACACAGTAAAATCTTAAAACTGACTCCCAATAAGGTGGAAATTTCCTTAAAATGGAAAACAACAACAGTTCTGCATAATCTATGTTCCATATATTTTAGTTTTTCTATAAGAGAAATTCCTTACAATGGAAAAATAAGTTGGTAATAAGAGTTTCTGTTAAAAGGAAATTTTACTGTTCCACTAAATATAAGTGTATTATAAAGTTATTATATTCTCATAAGAGCAAGGATCTTACTAATTCTAAAGTTAATGCTTATTCATCATCCTTAATAAATATATACTAATAAATAAGGAACAGATTTATGTGGACTTAAAATCCGTAAAAATGCATTTAAAAATATTCAAAAGAGCAAATGTGGTAAGGGGGTTGAGTTTAGAGGATTTATTAAAGATATTTTTAAGTAGGGAAAGTTTATGATTGAGGGTAGTTATTGTTTTTTGTAAGTGTTTAGACCAGTTTAGGTTTTTGTCAAGTGATTAGCCTAGGTATTTGACTATATCTGAGAAAGGTATTTGTTTATTGTTTAAGAATATTGTAGGAGATTGATCTTGTCTAAGTGTAAATACTGTGTGGATCGATTTTGATTCATTGATTTTTACCCGCCAACAGGAGTACCAAGGAAACAGAAGGTTTAGATGATTTTGCACATATGAAGAGGCTATTATTGGGTCGGAGTGAGAAGCATAAATGACTTTATCGTCTGTGTATTTGACAACTATGGTGTTGGGGTGGGTTGGTTGATCAGCTGAGTATAAATTATAGAGTGTGGGGGACAGCTCCTTGAGGTACGCCCACAATTATTAGCGAGATGGAGAAGAGTTTTGATCTGGATCTGATCACAAAATAGCGTTCACTTAGTAAGATTTAAAAAAACGATAGTATAGAGGGGTAGATTTTTTAATTTGTAAAGTAGGCCAGAATGCCAGACCTTATCAAATGCCTGTGAGACATCCAGAAATACAGCTGAGATGTACATTTTCTTTTCTAAAGAGTATGAGATGGTGTCTGCAAGTTGGTGAATTTGGTGGATGTTTGAATGTTTCTCGTGAAAATTGAATTGTGAGTTTAAGATAGCGTTAGTTTGAATTATTGAGTAGATAGTTTAAGGATTAGTTTTTTCTTGAAAAAAAAAAATATTTAAAAAAGTAAAAATGATAGAGGGGTTTTTAAGTCCCTCTCTGATGGCTCTAAGTTATTAAATTAAATTTCCTAACACTACAAAAATGATTTCTTTTAAATAAAATTGCATGCATTATAAAAAAAAATTACTTTTTATTAATCATTTTTGTGGTGTTAAAAAATTTTATTTTTAAATTAAATCCATTTGAGGGGGCTATTAAACCACTCTATTATTCTTGCAGTTTTATATATTTTAAGTGATTTTTTTCAAGGACTTTTGACCTTTTAAAATGTTTTTTGTTGATTTAAATAACATATAAATCAAATCTCTAATTATAATTAATAATTTAAAAATAAAAAAATGTTATATCGTATAAATATTACTAAATGCTATTTGCAAGTAAATGTGTTTTTAAACTTTTGAATTTAACCCATTATTAATGATGTACTAATCATTACTCAACCATTTATATGCCTACATCTGTAATTTAATTTAATAATTATTGTTGCAGACCAAAGAAATTATCAATAACACAAATTCAAGTCTACTCAAGTCACTATGTCAATTAAGGATGTTCGATTTGGTTTTGATTTTCTCTCTAATACAAATATATATACATGTATGGATACTGTAAGAAAATGGGATCTTACTTTTGCTTGTGTACCCATTTCAAGCCTTAAATTAAAATCAAATTCTGTATCATTAGATCAGACATGTACTGTTTTGAACCCTACTTTTGCTGAAATATGGTGCCATTGTATCATAGCCAAAATTTCCGAGCATTTAGATGTTGATTCGTCAGATGATGATATCAGACTAGAAAATCAGAAAGCTCTACAACAAGATATCTCATGGGCTATTTTTTTAAATGTATATTGTATAATGATTGAGTTACCATTAGAGGGTGATTTTGTAAACCTAATTAGATTGCTGGACAATCAAATCGACATGTATCAAAATTCTGCAATATTAATACAAATTTGGATGTTAGTTCCAATAGTTAATTCAAATATTGACCCTTGGATTAAGTGGACCAAATTCATATCATCAGTTAGGAACATAAGTAATATGAAATTAGTATTGGAAATTGGTTCTAAGTTACCAAGTAATGAAGAACTTGACCGTTGGTTAGGGGAACCAGTTGCAGCAATAATAATTAAATCGAGTGTATTTTTAATGAATAAAAAAGGTTACCCAGTATTACCTAAACTTCACCAAGAATTTATCAAAAAAATGTTCAATATTGGCTGTCAAATTATGGTATCTGGAGAATCTGGTGTTAAACAACATTTCAATTATTTATGTTATCTCTACAATAATACTACGTCTTTAACACCTTATAGCTCTGAATTTGTAAGTGGTTTTGAAGACCATCTCCAAACCCCATTACAACCATTGAAAAACGATTTACCATCTTATGTTTATGAGACATTTGAGCAAGATCCTATTAAGTATTATAAATATGAAAAAGCAATATTTGAAGCTTTAAATGATAAATCTAAGCATGTAGAATTTATTGTTGTTTATGTTGTTGGTGCTGGTCGTGGACCATTAGTAGATGCCACGTTGAAAGCGGCTAAAGATTTAAATATTGTTGTAAAGGTGTTTGCTGTAGAAAAAAATGAAAATGCATTACCAACATTGTATTTGAAAAACAACGAAAGGTGGCAAAATGATGTCACAATTATTAACTGTGATATGAGATTTTGGAATCCTAAACAAAAATGTGATATTTTAGTGTCTGAACTATTGGGATCTTTTGGAGACAATGAATTATCACCAGAATGTTTAGATGGTGCTCAGAATTGTTTAAAAAAAGACGGAATTAGTATACCTTCAAGTTATACATCATTTTTAAGTCCTGTACAATCACGGAAATTGCATGGTGAAATATCATCTATTAAAAAAAATATAACCAATTGTAATTTCCAGAAACCATACATAGTGCAATTAAACAATGTTTATACTATAGCTCAAGCCAAACCTTTGTTTACATTTACACATCCAAATCTGAATTCGAAAGACAGCAGTAATGATAGGGATGGTGTTTTGATTTTTAATGTTTCACAAGATTGTGTATTACATGGGTTTGCTGGATACTTTGAAACTATTCTTTACAAAAATATACACCTTAGTATTGTTCCAGAAACTTTTAGTGAAGGAATGTTCAGTTGGTTTCCTGCTTTTTTCCCAATAATCGAACCAATGGTACTCCATAAAGATGAAGAACTTCAAATCAATTTTTGGAGATGTAGTGATAAGCGTAAAGTGTGGTATGAATGGTGTGTTACTAAACCATATCAAGGAGTTATGCATAATACAAATGGAGAAATGTATTTTATGTCTCTTTAGCTTATTTTTGGTAAAAACTATTTTTATATAAAACTATGTTCAAATAACTAAAAATATATGTTTTTGTATTCTTTTCATGTGACATAGTCAGTGCAGTAGTAAAATATGCATTGTTAAATTTCGCATACCAAATACTTGTTGGAAGGAAAATGTACAATTAATTAAAGATAATTTATCATACTTACATGCAATAGTTTTAATGGAATTTTAGAATTTAAACCGAGCAAGGAATGTATTGGTATTGGTGTGAGCTTTTAAAAAAAAAAACAAATTTTTTTCATTAATTTATAATTAAATAAAAATCATCTGTAAGTGAAAATTAACATAGTAAGAGCTCTTTAATTTTTTTAGATTCTGAACAAAGTGAAAAATGTTAATGTTTAATTTTTAAATTTAATTTTTTCAGTTAATAAACAATTTTTATACCAAGAATTTTGCTTCAATCAAAAAATGTTAAGAGACATGTTGTTACATTTTAGATCTAGTTGGTGTATTGAGGAGGCCATTATTCGATTGTCTAACCAGTTTTTATAATTGTGATAAAACAAAAAAGATAAAAGTTTTAATTATTATACATATACTTAGTTCAATCATTTAAGAACAAACTAGTATATATAGAGTAATTTAATTTACTTCTGTATGCAACTATAAATTATTGCTAACAAAAAATAATTCTGAGTGAAATTTTGTTAAACATATGTTTAAATCTTCTTTTTTTTTTTACGATTTTTAAATAAACTTGAACTAAAAACTTAGAGAAAACTAACTCAGTACACTTAATTTTTTTACCACTAGGTAATCTTTGTGACCTTTGTTTCAAATTATCAAGAATTTTTCAAGGCCATATTTTTATATTATTTACAAAAATTAGAAAATAGTCTATTGTTATGATTTCTACTATTTTTATCAAAAGAATATATTGTGGTATATGAATAAAATAAAATATTACCGAGTCAATAATTCAACAAAACATTAAAATATTTTTGAGAAGAGTAAGAGTTGAAAGAAAAATAGTATTTTCTTTTTTTAGAGAAATAATAACAATTGAATATTTCTGAAATTATTTATCAGCAATTTTTAATGTTTTATTCTTAAATAATGATTAGAACAATATGGCAAATATCATAAAATAAAATAAATTATACTTTATCATTTTATTTAGGGTATTTTTAATTTTAAAAAAACTATAACACTATATTGAAAAATATATTTATTTATTAATTAATCATATATTAATAACCTATGTATGTATGTTTTCTATTAATTTCACCTCAAGAGGACATAATATGATGCTGTGGGTTTAGTGAACATGGAAAATCCCTGGTTGATCCAGCCAAGTGGAAGTTTAGAATAAGGGTGATCTACCCTACCCTAAATAGTTAGAATGAAGGAAAATAATAAGATATCTGAAATTGTTTTGAGAAACTTTTTTATTACAATTATTCTTCCAAAATATGTTGCACATAAAATATTTAAAAAAAACCTCCCAGTTATTAAAATTCTAGGTAGGTATCTACTAGGTGACATTAATATTTCCTAGTTATAATATTCACTGTTAGTTGGTGTATAAAAAAGTCAGTTTTTGATTTTTCATGTAGTTTTTAGAATAATTGGACAAAACCTGGGGAAATTTGATGGAAATAAAGGTTTTATTTTATACCTTTCAACTTCATACCTACAACAATTGTGAAAATAATTTGATTGTACAATTTAAATACCTAATCTAATAAATGTTGAGTTCACCTGGCTGAAAATATTTAGTATTACCTTTAAGTAAAAATGCACTGTATTAATATTTCCATAATACTTACATTAAATTAGTTAAATAATAATCTAAAAAAAAAGAAAATTGTTAATTGTAATTTTAAACTATTATGAAGTATATGTACTTTCTAATTTGTGACAATTTAATCCTTCCATCCTTCTGCTCATATTTATGTATAAACAACTGTAATTTATTTTTTATAAACAACATTTACTTTTTTTTTTTAATTTTGCATATGTATATATTGTTTTATATTTTAAAATTTAAAAAAACCGTGTACACATTTTCTTATCACAGTAACTCATATACTATACTTATTAATTATAAATAATACTATTTGTTTTTTTATGTATTTAAATAATGTCAATTGATTTTGTTAAGTTAAATCAAAATTATATATTTTGTACACATTTAATTTATTATTATTAAACTATAAGTACATTATTACTTTGAATATTATGATATGTAATGGTATTATTTAGTAATGATTAATAATTTAAAATGATAATTATCTACTTATTTAAATTTAATAATTTATGATTTTTTAATTACATTTTCATAACAAAATTTATATATGTTTATAAAATATGGTATAACTGTATCATTGTTTAAAGAATATGATAAATTGCTTACATTATAATTGAAAAATATCTAAGGGTCACATTTATATATAAATGCTTATTTTTATTGATATAACATAATTATTTGAAATCTAATCTGTAAATGTACACAATTTAAATTGTTCATATTAAAATGATAATAATTTTTATTTTAGTATTTTGCATAATGGTTGAACGGTTTAAACTGGTTTTGCACACTTTGTATTTAGCTTTTATTTTTTCATATATTTAGCAATATTTGAGTCATATTATATTTTTTAAAAAAAAAAAGAATTTCGCAACAAATTAAATACTTCATATTTTTACTTTTAAAAAATATGACTCATAGATTGAACTTAGATTATAACTTATTATTAAGAAAATATATTTTTTTTCATAATCCTATTGTGAGTTCCATTAATTTTATTATTATCAAATGTTATTTAGGTATTTTTGTATTTTAAATTGAAAACAAAATGTATTACTCTAATACAATATTGATTACTAACCTAATATAAATAATAAAAAATAATAAATCCAATTATTTTTTACTTAAATAATGTTTTTATTAAAATTATTTTCAATGTAAATTTACACTCTAAACTCTGAATTCAGTGTTTGAAACATTTTTATAACCAATTATTTTTTTATTTTAACACTGTTGATAAAATTAGCAACTTTCACCAAGTACATAATATATGCTTAATATTTATTACATTTAAATTTACATTAAATGGTCATGAACACACAAATCTGGATACATATTACCTATACTTTAGAAGAGTTTTAATTTGTAAAATATTACAGTTATTCATAAGTTTTATTTTTTTTTTTTTATAATTTTAAAACTGAATTCTCTAAAAAATTGTATTTACTTTTGTATTTAAATCGAATACAATAATAATTATTTGCTATTATTAATTATATTATTTAAATTAATTATACCATTTAGCAGTTTCATAACAAGAAAAAAATTCAAAAGGGTGGATTACATTAATAGTTTGTTATACATATTTATAAAATATATAGTGAATTTTCCATACCTATAAGGAAGTCTTCTGAGTAGTAAAAAAAAATAGTATCATAGAGAGATTTATTCAATAGAATTATAAATTGTTTTATTCATAAATTGTACCTACCTACATATTATTTATTTAAAAAAAATACATATCTATACATTTTATTTTAACAGAATTTAGTATTAAGAGAATTATAGAGAATACTATATTTTTTTGGCAATATATTCTTTTTTTTAACACTTTTATTGACTTCGCTTAAAATTTCAAAATGTATGGATAATTTTGATAAATAGAAGTTTAGTCTATTCCTACCTTATTAGCCTTATTAGGTACCTATCTTATCGGATATAAAATTGTATTTTGAAAACAATATGTAAAATTTGTTTTGAATGTAAAAATGATACCTAGTTTTAATAATTATATGGGAATAAAAATAATTATAAAGTGAGAAGATAATGTGAGCGATTGGATAAAAACGAAAAATTTGTTTGAAATATATTTGTATATAGGGTACCTACATAATATTTGATGTAGTATGAATATTTCAATATTATTTGTATCGAATGTCTTGCGATCAATGACGGTTTACAGTCCAAATAAAATATCGGCTAAATATTTTTCAGATCGTTATAAATATTTTGCAAAAACATTGTTAACACTTGTAACTCGACGTTTTGTTGTCGTCTTCTGTTTTCGATTCTTTGGTAATATATCTCGTTGTATTTGATCTGTAACATAAATCGCAGAAAACAATAACGCATAGGTAAATTTCGGTAGTTGTTAAAAATATCTGGATCTATAATACCCGAGGAATAAATATCCTGTTTAAAATATCTAAACGGAAAAAATATCAAATTTACAATTTAGTTAATAATACAATATTTAAAAAGACGTCCTAGGATAATGGAAACGGGTGCAGCCACTATTATAGGTACCTAATTCGATGTATATCTTTAAGCAATGATAAACCATTGCTAACGAAAAAACGATTCTGAGCGCAGTTTAGTTAATAGTGATGTTTTGTCAATAATATATATGTATATCATATTATGGTAAAATAATTAAAGGCATTACATATTTTCTTTAATAATATTTGTTTAATATTGTATCGACTTTCCCGTTTTTTAAATTTTTCCATGTTTATTCCCGATTTTTCACATTTGCGGGGGAAAAACCTCGGGAAACTCGAAAAATGATCTCCTCAAGGTACCTTTCGAGTCAAATTTAATTTCAGAAAAAGTGCTATCTTTGTGAATTGGAGCAAAATTGCTAGTAGAAAAGTTGTCCACAGAAAAAAATAAAAATGAACATTATTGTAAAACCAAAACATTTCTCGCTCCACTCAGAATCTAAAAGTTATTTAATTTATGTCTGTACTCAACGATTAACTATTGTTAATGAAAAAAGTTTCTGAGCAAAGTCCGGTTATATATGTTTTGAAATGTTAGGTTAGGTTAAGTGGCTCCATGAAAGGAAAAACAGGATTTTGTTATTTATTAATTATAAATTAAACAATAAACAATGAGAAGTATTGTGAAAGCAGATCCCTCACTGTTGTTAGTTTAAACATGCAAAAAATAAGTTGGGATACCTGGTTGGAGGCATCAGTGCACGGCTACTTTTTCTATCATATTTCGTGTTTCTATTTCATATAGTTTCTATCTATCTTGATTGTTTTTTCCACAGTCAAGTTTATTGATTTAATAAAACCTCAAGAGACCATACTTATTGCATTTTGACTTAGGTGATGCACCAGAAAAGTCATTTAATTTTGGTTTTAATTTACAAAAGGTTATCGTAATCGAGAAGAATAAAAAAAAAAAATATTGGAAAACAGAATGCTTAAAAATTTAACAAGAGGTTTATTAAAAATTTGTATTTTTTTAAAAAAAAGTTGACCGTAATATAGTGGTTTTTATTTATGAGCGTTTTAATATCAAATTTTGATGAACTTAAATATTACAGAAATTCAAAGCATCTGTAACCGAATTTAGCTCAGAATGAAATTCCGTAAACAATAATTTAGTGTATAAATACATAAATTAAATAACTTTACGTATCCTACTTTCCCAACTTTCAACCTTCAGCAGTAGTATGACTATCATCTGTATTAGTTTTTCTTTATTAATGAAGTTTTATCATTTATTAATTTTTACGAAGTTTGATTTTTTTTAAAGTTTTTGTTTAGATAATTAATTAGTCGTTAAAAGTCTGTAATATGTGTTTTCGGAATTTATTGCTAAATAAAAATGTATATAACATACAAAAAGTATAACTACCATTGTAAAACATAATGCACAACAGTTAATTAAAGTTTGCGAGTTTTTAACCCGTGTCAAATCAGTTGGTATATCTTGTGAATATCTACTGCCCACTAGTGATCAAATAATTTTGTCATGGGGAAGAGGAGGCTGATTTTTGTTCTGTTCTTCAAACTTGAAAATTTGACGGAAAAATACTATTTACCTAATATCTTTTCTAAATGTGGAAAAATTTTCAAAATATTTTGGCGTTTTATTTTGATATTTATAGGTATTTAATGTTTAAGTGTTTTTTACAGAGTTTTTATTTGATAAGTTCTTTGTGGAAATTATAAGTTGTATTTAGATGTCAAAAAAAAAAAAAAGTTTGCTGTAAAAACTCTGTGGAAATTCGGAAAATGACCTCCCTAAGTACCATTTCAGTTAGATTTCCTTTCAGAAAAAGTGCTATCATTGTAAATTGGAGTGAAATTTCTGGTAGAAAAGTTGTACACAGAAAAAAAAGGGCCATAATTTTTTTTTTCCAATATCCGCATTTCGTACATTTAACGTTTTTCTGTTATTTTATCCCAGTCTTTTGCAAATATGAAATTCACTTGAAAAATCAAAAAATGATCTTCCTAAAGTACTTATGTTTATAAATTTTCTTTCAGAAAATAAGTTACACAACACACTTGATACCAGTGGCGTAATTACAGGAAGGAGAATATGGGTGTCCTCCCAAGGCCTTTTTTTAAAAAAAAAAAAAAATGGGGAACTACATTTATGTGTTCTTGTTTAACTGTAAATATTATTTATTTTTAAAAGTTAATGCCAAACGGTTTTTACGATGGGAATGACATAAAAGAAAAAAAAAAAATAACAATAAAAAAAACAAGATAAGTAGAAAAGTTAAAATAAAAAAATAACTGTAGATTAAAGTAAATGGAAAATAAAACAATAGACGATTAGTAAAGAAAACATAAAAGAATATATATTGGGTTAAAGATAATAATAAGTAAATACAAAACAAGTTGGTCAAGGATTATAGTTTCTGAGCATGAGGTGTAGTGGTTGGTTATGATCGAAGGAAGTGGAGTGGCTAGGTATAGAGAACGGAGACTGGTTGCGAGTAGTTGTATTATATAAAAATAATACAAAAAATCCCGAATCTCCTATGTTAGCTGTACATAAATACTTCGTAATAAACGCAAATGCATACCTACTGCCCTGCCAAACTGAATGGCAGTAACCTACAATTTTTCATAAATGAGATTATTGTAGAATACCAATATTATTAGTCCATTTTACATCGATTTTGCTCGGTTAAAATACAGTAAAACATCATTTTAACCATTTAAATGAGATTTAGATAAGAATCTATCTAACGAATACCAGACAAATAAGCAGTTAATGATATATTATTCTAGATAAAAAATAGTACCTATATGTTGTGTAGTTTACTGCTCATACGTTAAGTAAATTTATTTAGCGACATACATATTGCGTATGTATCTAGTAACCTTAGATTAACTGACCAACAGTTAGCAGTATCCTTAAATGTTTATAATTGAATGCCAATATTTTAAATTCTTTTATACCTAATTAATTTAAAATTGTATAATTCCATAAAGTAAACATATTTCAATGAAATTGTTCCTAATTTTGATTAATCGGAATTGGTTAGATTTTATATGTCAGAATTTATTTATTTTATATTTAGAACTATAAATAGATACTATTAATATTTAGTATGTAACACGCTGACTAAGTTATGATCTATTAATCATATGAGACATCAGTTTATACTTTGTTTGCTGATTATAAATCCATAACTATTTAGGTTCTTAAGAATGAAACCTAATTTTAAATAAGTGATTTTGTATTAATAAAGTAGAAACAAAATTATTAAAATGGTTAATACTAAGTAAATATATAAATAAAACATTTATGTATAAAAATCAAATAGATAAATGAATGAATGCATCGCTGGAGTATTATGATTAGTATATGACCGGTTTCGAATTAAAAGTTCATCATCAGGTATATCATAGTCAAAATATAAAACACGACTATATTAATTGAATACATACGAGGTTAAACTAAAATGTTTATGATTTGTTGATATGTTTTTAAAAAAAAAGAAAAAATATATGTATGATTGAATTGGCTGATACTGCTTTTTTAATTGTAGTTATAATAATTGTTGACTATTACAAATGCAGTATCTACTTAATCTCGCCAAAAAAGA